CAAAAGTCCACACCATCTTGGTCTTCATACCTTCGTTTATGCCATTATATGTGAGATAGAATATATGGGATGTACTCACCCTATTTCAATTAAAGTAATGAAAACTTTCAGTTCATTTTGTTCACAATGATATGAGTAGGTGTCATGCTCCCATTAGATTTCACATAGCTTTTATTTCTATAAAGTATTCTCATCCTAGGTAGTGTGCAGTTTTGACCTCGCCTAGATTCCATCAGCACCATTATCAGGACTTGAACCCTACGTATAGTCTTGACACTTTACTCGAGTTCGAGTCCAAATTAATGTGCTGAGGAAACTTGGGCGAGGTCGAAACTGCACTCCATCCTTTTTGGAAGCAATGCAATGTTGGATTCAGTGGAAAAGTGAAGCTTGCTCATATCTTTGTGGAAAAATTCAACTCCCAGTCCTTTATCACCTTAGACAAGTTAGAGTGAATACATCCCATCTGTTTTAATTTCAGTTTTCCTTATCTGCAATTTCACACTTATTTAATATTCTCTGTCATTCACCCACCCACCCAGTGCCCCGTGATTTTCATTCTGTTCTTTTAGAGTATACTCGTGAGGGTTATCGAGTGCTTGCGCTTGCCTGGAGGCCTCTACACTCGCCTTTCACCCGAGTGCTTCGTTTGCCTCGAGATCGAGTTGAACGGCAATTGCGCTTTCTGGGCCTTTTGGTCATGGAGAATCGACTTAAGCCGGAGAGTGCTCGAGTCATAAATATCCTTCGCAGAGCTAACATACGCCCCGTGATGGTGACAGGTATGCTTAAATGAATATATCTTCCTATCTATTAATCCTCCTTTATATCTACTTCTATCTTCTTTACAATGAAAGTCTCTGTGTCTATATAATGTATATGATTAGACCACCTCCATCTGTTTTTACTTGCTTTTTATAAAGGATATAGACATTTTTGCATATTTAAAACGCCTCTGGTTCTTAAATTTATTTAATTCTCGTCCTGAATCTTTAAATACCGACATTCTTACTACCAAATTCGCAGTTTAGCTTTTTTGCATGCGTTATATGTTTGTGAATCAAATAATATTTTTATTTATTTATTGTAAAACCCATTATGCTTCGTATTGCCTCTTGCGAAGGCAATCAATTTGGAGAGAAACACATTCATTTTAAAAAGTGGTTTGACCTCGTTGTCGCAACTTGGTCTTGTGTTCAGGGAGTTATGTAGAACGCACCGAGTCCGAAGTCGTCTGCCATAGTAGTTGTCTTGATTCCCAGCATCCGACCGTGGTCGGGCAGACGACTTCGGACTCGGTGCGTTCTACATAGTCTCCCTGAACACAAGACCAAGTTGCGACAACGAGTTCAACCCACTTCTATAAGTCGAAAAGAGACTGCGACCATACCCGAGGCCACAATATCTTGGTCTTCACATCTACATTAATTTTAAATTTCAGAGTACACACTTTTTATCACTTCACTGTTATAATTTCATTCCATTGATTGCTGTCGTCTTTCGATGTTTCGTTATTTCCATGAGTTTTTTTGTTTAATTTTCGTACCTTCACGTTTATGCGAAGAGCATCTATTCTGTTTTATTTCAAGTGGACTTTACTTCTGAAATTTTATTCATGCAATGGTAAGGGCTTACCATGAAATTGGAATGGAGCTGGTTTGCACAGCAATATTCCATATTCAAGGGATCGATTTTTCATCGTGCGCAAGCCTGTGCTATTTAATTGAAGGTATGAAGATCAAGATGGTGTGATCTTTTGTATGGCCACAGTCTC